GTGTAACAACCCTTCCACTAAACCACTGTAAGAATTACACAATCAATCACAAGAGAACCTTTTAATGTATTGACTTGTCTACTTACGAATGACTTGACGACAAACTCTATTTGTGTCTATCTCCACGGCTTGTTACACCTTCTCAAGATATTTTTCAAGGACGTAGATTCCAGTACACATTCAAACAAATATTCTCCTTGATCTACAAATATACACAGGCTGATCCGAAGCTCATAAATCGAGATTGAATCGTTCGAATTCGATCTCCATTATTCAGATTGAAGCTCCACGAGTCCTTAGACCCCTACTAAAATTTAAGAATGATCGGACAAGATTTGGTACTCCAACCATCGAGAAAACCAGAGCTGCGTTTCCTGCAAAAATATCAGTGACAATGTGTAGATTGTAACTTCGATAACAGAAGATTCGTAACTTCGTTTGACGTGAAATTTGAACACGTTGAAGCCTTATATGTTGGGAACACTATCTAAAAATTGGAGCACAATACAATGGTCGGATCTCCAGTGATGATCAAATTCATGCAGGCTGTCTAGAAAATTTGCACTCTCAAAATCTGCACCTTGTTTTTCTTTTGATAGGATTTGCTTCAGGTTTTTCGTATATTTTGCACCAACATACCCTAAGGGAGGGAGAATATAATATATGGATCACATTAACCCTGTTAGAGTGTGCTTAGGAGTCTCCACCATGTCTTCCTCCTCAAAAATAGTAAACTAAGTAGGATTAGAATTCTCTCTTTGAGCTCTTTCCTCTTTCTCTTTCTTCACACGCTAGGACTCTAAGTCTAAATAAAATATCTAAAATAATTCTAGGTAAATCTATTCGTTTGTCAAAAAATAGTTCCAACACAATATGGATCTAACAATCTCCCCCTTTAGCAATTTTTTAACAAAAACGAATCTCATCTGTTTTGAACCTCTTCTCCCGCGGCCCCCTTTTTTGCATTAAAAATGTCAAAGGTTTTATTAAGAATATTGGAGCAAAAAGAGAAGATTAACATTCAAGCGAGCTTGAGAATTACAATAATGAATATCAAAATAGACCTAGACTTTGTCACATCAACCTGAGCCATATTGAGCGACTCCCCCTTGGACGATCCATCTGAAAAAGTGATAATCTACAAGAATAAAAAGACATGTATACAACTAGCAAAAACATCTATGTTCTAAGGTATTTCACGTTGGAGATGAAACACCTCTTAGAGCATCCTCTAAAATCAGGTAGAGATGGGTGTGCACGGACCCAAGTGGGATCTGAGTATACCAAATCGATTCCTATCAAATGCTCTTTTACACATGCCTAATGCCCGTTTTTTCATAGTCATAAACTTCACACTCTCAGTCAAAACATGTTATCTTTTAAAAATGTGTACAAAATGTGTAAAAAAAAGTAAAAGCAAGATATTTGTACAAAACATGTTACCTTTTTCTCTTTTTAAAAATGTATCATATGAAACAACACTAAATAAAATTAAAGAAAAACAAAATAAAAAACATCAAAATAAATTATCTACTCCCTCTGTCCTAAAATAATGTTCTCAGTCAATATTCACATAGTCAAACTCTAATTGCTTTGCTTACCTAATTCGTTAGTTATTTGATAAAGGTATTATATTCATGTCACCTCTTATTTTGTAGAACTTTTGATGTAGTTCTAAAATGGAGTATGTAATTTTTAATTTTACATCTATAGCCAAATAAATTGAATTGAAAATAATTTCAGTCAAATCTCATAAACCGAACTTGGAAGATCATTTTAGGACGGAGAGAGTATTTTAATTAGAAAAGATATACGGAGTAATTTGGTTTAATTAGAAATAAATAAATATTAAAAGAAATATTTTTTTACACAGGTGTTGAGTGAAGGAATGGTAAGTGCAGTGACGATAATTGAATATAGAGTGGTGCAGCGCTAGCTACTGATGGAAGCATCTCACAAAATCTAGAAAAGTACTTCGTAATCCTCCTAGCTAGGACACGTAGAACACCCATCTGTGGTACACGCATTACACAAACCACCATGCACACGTACGTCGTCTCCTGTGCTGTCTGCAAGCTTAGCTTCGCTTAGCTTAGCGAAGAACTCAGTTCCCTCAATAAATAAAGCAGACCAGACCTTTGTTTTAAATTACGAAGCTAGCTTAGGAAGCAGTAGAAAGAACAGAAAATATGGCACAGATGACGGTAACGGCAGAAAATGAGAAAGTGGCAAGTTTCAGGCTGCCGAGTGGCCATCTCATCCCTGCGGTTGGGCTCGGAACTTGGAAATCCCAACACCCTCCACATAATGTCTTCACTGCTATTGTTGAGGTATTACCGATCAGTACATCCTAGAATTAATCAACACAAATATGCAAGTTTTTCTCCTAAATCACCCCAGTCATATAAGGAAGAAAGACCAAAGTAGAGTAAGACTAAAATATTGAAAATATACCAAACTAGGACTTCCATGTTTTTATTCCCGAAATAGGACTTACATTACCAAACATGGTCATGTACATTACCAAAAAAGTATACTAATGTGCACATGTACAGTGCCACATTACCACAGTGCAAAGTCCTATTTCGTGAAAAACCTGAAAAGTCTATTTTGGTTGATTTCTATTCATGTAACGTTGTCCGGCAATGTCATAGTATGACCCGGGCACCTACGATGTATCATTCGAAAAATTAAAAATTGATGATTCCTCCCTGGAAACAGGGCCGGCCTTGGGGTAGGCATAGGGGCTGCCGCCTAGGGCCTATTTCATTAGGGGGCTCATAATTATTTTTTCTCCAATAGTACTAGTAATATATTATTGTAAAAAACATGACACTCAATCATTTTAATTTATCAAGTGATATTGTTTTTTTCTTTAAAATAATTATAAGAGAAGCCAAATTTTTTAATTGGCCTAAGGCCCATAAAATGTCAGGACCGGCCTTGCCTGGAAAATTCCCAACCCTGCTCGGACCCAAACCCACTCCCTCACCCCTTCAATTGCAACTTCCAAATTTATTTGATTTAGAGTTAATATTTTGACTCCAAAGTAATAAATTTGGAGGGTGCAATTGAAAGAGTAGGGGAGTGGGTTCGGGGCGAGGCGAGAGAGTATGCCTGGGTTATGAGAGGTAGAAATCAATAATTTAACGAAGGGAATTAATGTCATGGGAACCTCGCCTTTTATATATGTAAGTTTATTTTATAGTTTTATACTAATCCTAAAATTTAAATAACATAATTTTTAAAAATTTTGAGATTTTGTTTTGTTTTATGCAAAGTGCAATTCATTTAGGAACCTCAATTAATTGGGACAATTTAACTTCACAGAGTTTAAAAATTATTGAAAGGTAAGTCTAGAGTGAAAAGAAGTCACCATAAGAAAGAGTAGAAAATAGAGAAATTACCAAAAAAAGAGCTCTATATTTTTATTTCCAAAATAAAAGTTTACACTGTGATAATGTAACTATGTATATGAACATTTCAATTACTTTTTTATACTTTGTATTATGTATTGGCATGATTGGTGTTTTAAATTCATTTTAACTCATATTTTGGAAATAAAAATATGAAATTTCTATTTTGGTATATTTCTATTTTTACTCCTACTTTACTCCTTTTTTATAAAGTGAATGAAATGTTTTAGAGAAAAGAGAAAAATAGTGAACCACATATTCTGTATGGCATGTTGGAACTTGATTTGATTTCAAATCCAGATTTGGGTCAAATTTTATGTATGGAAATCTTAAATTTTTGAATTAAGATTTTAGACAAATTTCTTTAATTTAAAACAAAGCTCAATGACAAATTCATATATACCTCCCTTTTCGTTTGAAAGTCAAGAGTTCAGATTTTGGAATTGTAATGTAATAATTGAAATGAAATGTTAGTTCCGAATACCAATTTAAAGAAATCCCTCTTCATAAGACCAAAAAATCAAATTTATACTAAAATAAGATCTAAATAAGTGTGTTAGCACTAGGAAACGCGTTGACATTTCAGTGTTTTTGGAGATTCAGTTTTGTCATTATTTGCTATTATAAGTTCTATTTTCATACAAAAATATTGATGGTCACATTTTTGTGTGTATAACATGTTTTAGTTCTTGTTGATATTTCTCCATAATTTTACTTTTTTAAGAAAGTACTCCTAAATAGAAGCGTTGGAGAGAATCAAAATACAAATGAAACATTTAATTCACCACCGCAGTAGATGCGATAATTTCTTAGAGAGAATATTTAAATAAGAGTAAAAGTGTAGAAAGTATAATTAGAACTGAACTTGATGAATTGATTACACATAAATTTGCTATTTATAATAGCTACAAGACCAAGACTTAATTACAAGCCCAACAAGAATGAGCCCGTTAACAACAAATCCTACTACATTCCTTAACACTCCCCCTCAAGTTGAGCATGAGGTTAACGAATGCATAACTTGGACAATTAAAACAAAACTAAGACTAAAAAAAACTTGATAAACAACTTGAACTTGATCTGCTGTGACAACAACGAACGAAGGTGACCGGCCCTGCAAACGAACAATAAATTTTGATGACGAATGACTCCCACGCGGTGACACGGGGATGACTAACAAGCATCCCAAACTTAGAGGCCGTGTTGCCGGACTGAGGCGCGACTATGCGGCCAACCTCACAAATTGATATGTCAGACTGAGGCGCGACTATGCGACCAACCTCACAAACATACATGCTGAACATACAGCTGGTTGCACTTGAACATACCAAATAGCAACCAAAAACAATGTCATCAAAACATCAACAAAATGGCTCGGTCCAAATACGAAAATCTTCTTCCGTGGAGTACGAGCAAACCAATCCATTAATTACTATAGAACTAGTAACCAACTTTGAGAGGAACTTCATGCCGTCAGATTAAACCCAACAAATAGAGCCACGAGACAATTGCAGTGGCCCACCCTATTTAATTTGTGGTTGGAACTGCGGACCAAATTTAAGGCTTACCAAATAGGTACAACCAATTAATTCTCCGTCGCTGGACAAACTTGCGGATGATAATGCCGCTGCCACCGCCGGACAAACTACAAGCGACTGCGGTAACGGAATTGAGCACAGGAAATGGGACAGAGACGATTCCGGACAAAACGGGATGCACGATTTCAGCCAGCGAGCACAAGGTTGAAGCAGCGGTGCGGTAGATCGATGGATTTTGGAGAACTTGGATCTACACACTACCAGAAGATCCGACCTCTGGTGTCTGCACGTTGGCTGTTCGGAGACGACGACTGAGACTGGCGACACACTGACAATTGAATCAAAGGCTGGTATGGATCTGTGAAGCTGCTGGGACGGGCGATTCTGCTGGAGGAGCAGATCTGCTGAACGACACAGATGGATCTACAGGAGGAGACTGACAGATCTACTGGGCGAAGGAGTGAACTTTCGGACGGAGGGAACTTCCGGCGATGCAGAGACTTGCTGACGATGGATGGATCTGCTGGACGGATGGAAAACAACAATTGATGAAATCATTAGTTGCTGCTGCCTATTGGTGCATACGGAGTCGAAAATATGAAAAGAGTAGGGTAGTGGAGATCTGGACAATTACTCCTCGATCGGACGAACAGATCGAAACCTGTATCGTCAACAATAGAAGTACAATGATTGGTAATGCAAATCGATGGTGATGCCGCCGTCACCGGAAAAGGCACGGCAACGGTGGCAGAAGCAGAAGGTATAGACTAGGGCATACTTAGGGTTTTGTTTTTCTCAAAATTTGGCTCCGATACCATGTAGAATTTAGGATGGGGTAGGGATCACTAGATTGGGTAATAACACACTTAGGCTGAACCACATTAAAAGATTGAATCCAATCGATTACTTAGCTCAACTCAAGGGCTTATATGCCGGTTTATTTTCTCTTCAAGTTCCAATGTGGGATACTCTTTTAACACTCCCCCTCAAGTGGACAACCGGGCCATTTTGAATCTAACTGGTTGACCACTTGCAAATGAACTCCCATTCCCTTGACTTTTTTTGAGCGCCAACACCTAAAGGACCATGAGCTGCTGGGTATGGACTTCCAGACGTGCAATTGGGTTAAACAGGCCACAGGCCGTTGGGTACATACTCCATACAGACAGCTGGGCTAAAGACTAATGGGCCGCTAGGAATGAACGTCTAGACGGACACCATGACAAACGAGGTGGGCCAAAACCTGCTCTGATACCATGATAGAAAATATAATTAGAACTGAACTTGATGATTTGATTACACATAAATCTGCTATTTATAATAGCTACAAGACCAAGACCTAATTACGAGCCCAACAAGAATAAGCCCGTTAACAATGCAACAAATCCTACTACATTCCTTAACAAAAAGGTAGATAAAAATATCAAAATATGAGTAGTATTCTTTTTGTTACTTACATAGAAGTGATTTAAGATATCATTCCCACATTGCACACTGTCATGCTACCATACAATGTCAATGCAGCGTTGCCACGGGTCGCCGGTATTGGCCACCATCGATCTACGGTGCACCACTCCACCACCACACTCCACCATTCGAGTGCCACTATCATCATCACATCCCCAAACTCCTATGAAGGGGATGTAAAGAATGCATTCATATTTGGGTATTTTGATGACATTTTACTTTTGTGTATGACAATTTCTTATGGTAGATATTTCATTTCTAATTTGAGTTGTACAATAAAAATTGTTTGCATTACAAAAAACTAATTACCATAAATAAGGGAGAACGGAGTATACTAAAACAATAATATCAAAAATTGAATTAAAATTAATGTAATTACAAAACAAGCACTTAATTTGTACTCTGTCTCGATCTCCATCCATAATAATTGGACTAGTTTGACTTTCTTTCTCAAACTTTGACTAGTTTGAGTTTAGTTAGAATATAAATTCTCTAAAAAACCAATCTACCGAATTAAATTATCCACATTTTGAACGTTACCAGCTTGTACTCTCTCTGTTCACAAAAGATCTCATTACACAATACGAGGTTTGACTAAATTACTTTCAAATAAGTTAAAATGTGGGCGGGTGCAGGGTGGATATAGGCACGTTGATACGGCATGGTGTCTAGCACGAGGTCGGGACAGGACTGAAAGCGGCCATACAAGCTGGAGTTGAGAGAAAAAATTTGTTCATTACTTCCAAGTTATGGTATCATATTAAATTCAATCATACATGTCCCTATTTAGTTTGAATAAATCTATTGTCACATAAACCTTTTGACATCAAATTTGACATAGAACTACACAAACAATGATTGTCAAACTTTGGTATCAAAGTTACCCAATGAACATCCCACTCTCAATCTCATGTTTTGGTCTTGCTTGAGTTTTGATTCCTGCAATATTTGGTTTTCCTTGCTGGTATATATTCAGGTGTATAGAATTGTCACCCCAAAGAGTTCGGCCCGCACTCCTGAGCACACTCGAAGAGCTACAACTGGATTATCTCGATCTCTATCTGGTAATTAATTAATTAATTCGTGCTTCATTATATTTAGACAGACGTACCATATAATGTCTATATGTTATGTTTACGTTTGTTAAAAAATGTGCATGTTTTGTGATGACCGGCGGGATATGATAGGTTCATTGGCCATTCCTCCTTAAGGAAGGCGCAAGCCGGCCTCCAAAACCCGGGGAAGTCTCAGAGATTGACATGGAAGGGGTTTGGAGGGAGATGGAGAAGCTGGTGACCGATAAGCTAGTGAGGGACATCTGAGTGTGTAATTTCACAGTGAAGAAGCTGGAGAAGCTGTTGAACATTGCACATATAAAGCCTTCGGTTTTCTAGATGGAGATGCACCCGGGTTGGAGGAACGACAAAATGTTGGAGGCTTGCAAGGAGAACAACATACATGTTACGGTACGTGTCGTGTGTGATACAGAATCTTTAAAAACTACATTAAAGGTTTCGTTTTCAATTCAATAATTTTTTTAAAATTAATGAAGGAGTATAAAATAAAAGTGATATAGAGAACATTTGTATGTTGGCTTATATCCAGCCCAGCTTGACTAGCTAGAGAGTACAAACTACAAAGTTAGCTACCCAAGGTAAGGCGGGCCATTCTTATCGTTCTTTATTGGAATATTTTTTATTCGAACTCGAATCAACATTTGTGTTATATGTGCGTTTTTGTGGCTCTCAGGCATATTCACCCCTAGGTTCAAACGAGCGTGACTTGGTTCATGACCTAGTGGTGGACAAGGTCGCAAAGAGAATGAACAAAAACCCCGGCCAAGTTCTCATAAAGTGGGCTCTCCAAAGAGGAACAAGCACCATTCCTAAATCAAACCACGATGACCGGATCAAAGAGAACATAGCCGTATTCGAATGGGAATTGCCCAAGCAAGATTTCGACGCTCTCTCTAGCATCCCGCACCAGGTGACATGGCTCTAAACTATTTCTTTTTTAAAAAAAACTCCCTCCGTCCCTTAAAATCATTTCCCTTTTCATTTTTAATGGATTGAGGAAGAGATATTTTTATATTGACTTTCCAAAAATACTCTTTATGTGATAGGTAGAATTAAGATGTTGATGGGTAGATTATTAGTGAATAAATATGATGTGATTAGGAGTAGAATTGGGTATTTAATACAAAGTAAAAACCAAGTAAATGTAATATGACATTCTTGATATATTAAAAAGTGAGTAAATGTAGACACACATCATGCCTAGATTCATTCATCTTTCAGTGTACCAAAAATGTCTTATTAGACCGTTAATATGAAATGGAAGAACTAACTAATTATGGTGAATACTTTTATTTGGTGATATGTGTAGAGACGCGTGCTTGACGGGGAAGACATTTTTGTCAACAAGACTTGTGGCCCTTTCCGGAGTGTTGCAGATTTGTGGGATCATGAAGATTAGGTTCTCTTAGCGGTCCATATTTGGAATAAATATTAGGCAAAATCACTTGCCTCTGTAATAAAGGTTAATTGTGTGGTCGATCTCAAGAATAAGATCAAAGACTAGAAGAAATTAATGTTGTTTAGTTCTTGAAAACTTGCATGGTTTTCTTGATTTTACCACCACCACCTTTTGGCATTGCATCTACATTTGGATTTCAAACTTTTTCAATTCTTCTTTGAACAAAAAAAAATGTAGAAGATTTATGGATATACAAAAGACACACTAGTCAAAATTTTGGGTCGGGGTTGGACGGTTCCGAGCTCTGTGTCGGCATTGGCATTCCTCACTGCCTCCTCCTCCGCTACCACCGCGACCAGCTACTTCATCCCCCTCTTCATTGTCAACCTTATAGTTTAGGAGTGTGTCGAGGCCATCGTCCGTGTGGGCCGTGATGGGGGAGTTATCGGTACCAACTCCTCCGTGTTGCGGGAAGCTCATGCTAAGCTGGGTTACCTCGGACACAGATTTGGTTAGCGTTGGTCTCGGGCGTTTGAAGAACAAACATATGACCGCACAATCGTCGACCTTGGAGCACGGGTACTTGTGTTTCCATGCCCGAACCGCCCGCTCTACCAGCACACGCGCCGCCATTGATCGCTTCCTCACTGAAGCCACCGTTCTGATCACCTCATAGTTGCTTAGGACGTCCCACACCTAAACAATGCGCAAAAAAAATTCATAAATGACTTTTATGAAACCTTACAACTATAAGTTTGAGTTTTTGGTTAAATTGGTTCTTGACAGAATCACAAGTCTTAAAACGACATTTATATATGCTCACCCCGTCGGTGGCTAGAACAATGAATTCGTCTCGGTCAGAGATTTTTCGGTAGTAAGTCTCTGGAGTGGAGATGAGGCCAAAGTCCTTCAAGCAAAAGTCTCCAAAGGCTCGAGTCATGGCAAGACCGGGACAATCTTGATCGGGCATCCACACCCTAAACACATTTGGTTCTTCTTCTGTTGCCATTACCCTTCCTTGACAGTCTTTAATGCGTTCTGATTCACCTAATATACAAATAGCCATTGACTCATTCAAGTGCTATTCTTAATTGATAGAATTGGAACAATATATTCCTGGTTTATTTTCTTCCCTAATCAAACTTCAAACCGAACCCAAAAAATATGAAAATCTTACTTGGAAGATTAGGCTTCAAGTCGACGGTGAGTTGTTCTGGGACAAGCTGATCCGTGTCATCTCTTGTGCACATTACAGCACGAGAGTCCCCTAGATTCCCAATCACCAAATGTTCGCCCTATTACGTACGTTTAAAGGTCTCGGGTTAAGCTAGAAATTTGGTTATCACCACGTTATCTCGTCATTCATTTAAGGGGGTTCATTCATTCATTCGTTCATATCATACCTGTTTAATTAACGTGACCGCTGTTGTGCCGCTGCAGTAGCTGTCAATCCTTCCCTCCCCTTCGAGTTCATCATCCATGTCCCTAAACGACTTGAGGAAATGTGATTTCCATATAGAAAACAGTGGAACCTCGTGGACATCTTTCTCCATATTCTTGTCCTCCATGCCATCGCCATCCTTTGAAGACAACGAAAGCTTTGATGGTAAGCGATCACGAACGTAATGCGCCACCCTATGACCGGACGGTCCGTGCCCATCAAACACGCCACAAAAATATGAACCTCTTTCTCCACCAAAGTGCTACAATAGTAATGATATTACCAAAATCATTAAGGTAATTTTTGTTGAGAATGCAATGTGGATGGAATATTGCACATAAAAATGAAATGAAATGAAATGAAAAAAAATTGTCCATACCTCCCACACAGTCATGGCATCTTGATTAACACCCTTTCTACCTTGTTGGGAATACATGGAAACAAACCTAGAAGAGCCATGGAACCTAACCCGTGCCCCGAAATCGCCTCTTCCAACAATCCCTTCGTGTTCATCTTCAACCTCCCTCTCCTCTCTGTTCACCACATTTCCAACTCCATAGCCATCATAACTCTTAACTCTTTGGCAGGTACAACAAGCACCCATTTTTCCCCCCTCTCCTCTCTTCAATTCTCATGCAATCCTTCTCCGAGTTTTCTCGTCCGATTTCATCATTCGGTTGCGACGAAATGATCAGATTTGATGGAATGGGGGGTGGCCAAGAACCCAATGATGCAAAAGAGGTATTTCTTGATGATTTGTGGTATGCAGCGAGTGGAAAGAATGTGGACAAATCATGAATGTTGTCTCATGGGGAGAGGGAAACATTCATGATTTGTGTGGGATGGAATGGGATTAATAATATTCAGAATATATTAGCAGGTTGATCCTCCAATGAATCAAACTCAGAAGAGGGGGGTTTAATTTAATTGTTTGATGATAATTAAATGGCCACTGAATGATAAGAGTTTTGATTGATGCCACAGTGGCAATTCCCTCCTCCCCCTCTCTTGTGTGTAGGAATTCTACACACCTTTATGCCTGATTTATCTCCCCTCCTTTCATTTTTAATATATCCCACTTTTAGCATCTCTCTTTATTTCCATTTTAACTCTATATCATACATTCATTCATATGTGCCTTATTAGTTAATAAAGTTTTAATCTTTTTTTCAACATTCTTTCTAATTCATTTTTGTTTTCAAGATAATAATGTTTTCATCCCTAGATTAACTCTCCATTTCTTTTCTAGAAAAAATTGTATGGCTCAACCGCTCAAAATAGTAGAACTTTATTTTCTCTCGTCTTAATATGTTGTCTTCTTGTTTTTTTTATCTTCCACCTTTTCTTTTTCTCTCGAATCAAACAAGAAAAATTCTTTTCCACATCATTTTCTTTACTTTTGATTTTTAAGTTTCTTGAACCAAATAGTGTTAGAAAAATACCGAATAGGTGTTATTAACTTGATTACTTTGTAATTAATATCTATTCATAGGAGTTTAACAATTTAGATTTACATGAAATTAAGAAAAATGTAAAAAAAAATGAAAAGTGTGTTGTTAGAACTTAAAAATGTATCGGTCCAAATTTATATTTATCCGAACCGAAATCTATTCGAACCATTATGTATCCCAGTGGATGTATATATACCCAAGTTAATTATATCTGGACCCGTGTTTGAACCGAAGAGTAATTGGACCAATTGAAAATGTAGAGACCCACACTAAGCTGAAATCTGAAGAGATCTAAGGTGATTACTCCGTGTTACATATTTACATATACTCACAATAGATCCGAAAATAAGCTCAAACAGAAACTGAGCCAATTGATCTGATAAATGTAAAAAGATTATGGGACAAAGGAAGAGTACTTCATGATCCACTGGGTCTCTCCTAGCGCAATTCCAAAAATACTTTTGACTCCCACAAACATAATGGGTCTGTGAGAACCATACCCCAAGTACAATATGCAATACTGAAGTGTCATTGAGAAGTAAATTCCATAAAAAGATTCACTCTGCAATAGCACATATTGAGTTTCTAAGGTTACAAAACTCAATTTGAAGCAGATTTATCCACCAAAACAAATCCCCACAAGAACAAAGAGAACAGGCAAACTGAATGGCATTATTTTTCTACACACCTGACAAAGAATATGTAAATCACAGATAAATGTATGGAGCAGCTCTTGAGGCAACAATGGGTGTCATTTCTTTTTGGAAGATTCAAGAATGAAACAATAGATACAAATGAATAAAGGGTAGTAGTACATTAGCTAAACACGTACTCGGGTACTATAACATTTTTTTATCGGTGAACTCGAGGGATAACGACGGGCAGTAATAGAAGAACGTAAATGTTAGATGACACAGTCTTGATTTCACCACCATTGATGAACAAGAACTCCGCTTTTTCTGAGAGAAGTAAAAAGATCCAAGCACTGTTCGTAGGTTTTCTCATACTTGGAACTCCTCTCCCCAGGGCAGCATTTCTGCCACCTATTGTAATGGCATTCAAGAAACAGTTCATCAATCAGACAAATGGCTCCTGTCTCAAACAACCTTGGGATCAACTCAAATTCGGTGCCTTCCACGTCCATCTTCATCACCACATAATCTCTCTCTGTTACAGTGTTCTTCAACCATTCTGCAAAATCAAATGCTTGTATCTTGTCAACATCACTGCCGGAGGTAGAAGATGACTGAACCGGTTGAATTCTTCCCATTCCTCTACCTTTCACCACGTCTTTGTCGCCGGGGGTTTGGTTAATCTCAAAGAAAAGTGACTCATTCCTCACCCAAGCAGCATAAGGCAGCAAAACCACTCCTTTCTTGGATTTGTACCCCTCATGAAAAGTCTTGTCGGCCTCAATGGCGTAAATGTCAAAGGTCCTGTTCTGTTTGGGATACTGCTTCTTAAACCAACTCACAATGCTTGAGCCGTAGCTTCTTGATCCCACATCAACATATACGTATCTCTGCTTAAATTTGATGTCAGCCATTGAAGACAAGTACTTCACATTTTCTATATTCCTCTTCAGAGTAATCCATGGTTTCTTGGGTTCCTCCATGATCAACGGCTCAGCTTTTCGGATCAATTGCACCTTGTAATCTGGAACAGAGCATTTCTCGCCCAAACTGGCATTTGGTGAAGCAATTCCATACTCTTTTTGCAAAACAATTTCGCGGATAGACGGCATTTTAGAATCAAACCCATGAATATCTATGTACTTGACCAATTTACAACAGTTAAACAAACCAATCAAAGAATTGAAACTATATGTATCCTTGGAACCTGTATGGAGCACTAGAAACCCTTCGGGCTTCAAAGTCCTGCAAATCTCAGAGGCAAAGCCTGCAGGGTTCGCCGACTTATCAATCATTCCGGCACCGGAAAAGACAAAATCAAAGGAGTGGTCATCAAACGGCTGCTTCATAGCCTGACCAGACACCACCAAAGGCTTAGATGGTTTCTTGAAGATTCCAATGGAGTCCGAGACACCGATCTCTTTCAGGGCAAAAACATCCGAACCTTGTTCGGTATCCACACATAGGGCCTTCCAATAAGGGTTCAAATATCCATCCGCGATCAGATCTTGAAACACAGACGAGTAGAACTTGGCGGCCTTCTGGAAATCCTTGGTGGCCCAGAGATCGGGTTGCTTAGGTTTAGCGGGAGCCAACTTCCCGACCGCCTCGCTAGACATAACAGCCGCCGATGACGCTTTAGAAAGCTGGGTGGCGGAGAGGATGTTGACGCTATCCGGCAGAGAGAAGAAGCAGAAGTTGCCGAGGTCACAAGACTCGCCGCGGAGAGTCACAACATAGGCAAACCGGATGCCGATGACGACGACGCAGAACAAGAAGAGGCGCACCAGTAAATTCTTCAGGAAGCTCGGCTTCCCGGACCCGTGATCCATATCGAACAATCTCAAATTATCTACCAATACACAAACTATTTCTGTATCTACCTACGGGCTGGATTGTTTCTGTACGAAAAGAATAAGAATAATGAGGAGATTGAAGAAGAAGAAGAAGAATGGCTAGGGTTCAGAGAAAGAATGTTGATAAAAGGCGGTTTATCGGGAGCAAAATCGGGCGGCGGTGTGGTTTGCACCCAAGAGAGAGGCGTGAGAGATTGGAGAAGAGAAGGGCAGATTGGAATGAAGGGCAGGGGCAAAACGGGAAGACATGGTTCGGGATCCCGGAAGGCGACGAGACGGAGGAGCAATTCACTTCGTCGGAGGGGAATTTCCGCCGGTTTTGATCATTTGCTTGCTGGGTTTTAGAGAGAGGAAATGGAGGTGCCGACGGAGGAGGAGGAGATAGGCGGAGCAGCGCAGGGTTTGGATGATGGAGACGGAAACAGACGGGGTTAAGTTAAGCGGCGGGCGGTTCAACGCGGTATGAAGTGGGCCAGGGGGTGTGGCCGCGTTTCTCCACTTTTCTTTTCCCTTTTTCGCCCTCTGTCTTCCCAATTTTTCCTTTCCGGATACTTTCCCATCAAACCAGCCCAAATACGGTTGGCATAATATCAAATGTAATGTTGACAATTAACCAATTTTTTCCGATGATGATGATGAGAGATTCACAATGAAGTAAATTTCGCCCCATCCCAATTTCTCTCACATCAATATTCTATTAATTTTCCGCTATATCGCCATGAAAATCATCTCTTGGTTTCTTTTACAAAAACAAAACGGATTGGAAGAAAAATAAAAAAAGTCGGCCAGGAATCCTGATCGGAAGAAGAAAAACAGAATCAAGCGCGGTAATATTGTATGTTGGTTCTAATTGATTTTACTCACATTTTGTAATATTGTGTACATGCGACATATGATGCGATGGAGCAGGTCACACAACAGGATAATGTTCAAGCATCCGAGGAGGAGTTGTACTATGCCTCAATTGATTGACATGATCCTAAAAAACGTGTCTTTGGTGTAGGCAAGATGTCCAAAACCATGCGTCATGAGAAACCGACTTCCAAGCGCTGTCGTATGAGTACGAGTTCTGCTGCTGAATCATATGCTGCCTCTCCACCGTCTATCGTAGAATCTCTCAAGGGAGATATTATCCAAATGCTCTGTGAACCTATTGCCCAAACAATCATAGAAGAGATGCATAGATTGTTTGGAGATCGCTTGCCCCGTAGAGAGGACGGAGGAGACGGTGACGGAAGTGCACCTCAATGTTAGTGTAATGGGTTAATTTTTTAAATGGAAACAATAGACATTTTTTTATGAGACGAGTACATTAAGTCTTATTTTCGCTATTTAAAAAATATTGAATTGAAACTCTTATCTTGTGGAATACTTATGTGTTTTATTATGTTTAATTTGAGTATACTCGTTACATTTGATGGTTAATCTTGCGTAAAACTGAGGATGAAGGTAGTCCGATTTGTGTTGGTTGTTTTCAACTTATGAAACAGAATAGTCTGTTGCAGTTGCACATGAAGATTTTTTGGTAGAAAATATCACAATGGAATTTTTGAGGCGTTTTCCCATTGCAATATTCTGCAACGGAATAGAAGTTGCAAATTTCGGTTGCATCACCTTGCAACAGAATTATGTTTCAACCTTTAGCAATGGCATTTCAGTTGCACTTTTTCATTGCAATATTATGCAACGGAAAAGAAGTTGCAAAATTCCGTGGCATTACATTGCAACAAGAATTCCGTAGCAGGTGTTAGCAATATCATTTCCTTGCAAATTCCCATAGCAAATACTTGCAATAACAATTTCTGTTGCAACAGCAAATCTGCAACAATAGTTTTTGCAACGGCAAATTTGCAACAAAATTTCCATTGCAATTGGCCATCAGCAACGGAATACGATGAATATTGCAACGGATTTGGTCGTTGCAATTCAGACCATTTCTTGTAGTGATTGTTGTAGAAAATGATGGTTTCACTTTGATGTTTAAGGTTAATCTTCCACACTTTGAAAAAATTTACCGTGCAATGGTGCGAAACGATGTCAAAACTGTGTATGAAATTGAGAAATCCAAATTAAGCACATTGTTAAATAACACAAATTGACTACTGACATTTGGAAATCAAAGTCCAAAAAACATCTTATATGTGTGTTACTGGTCATTTTCTTGACTCACAATGGCAACTTCAGAAGAGGGTTCTTGGTTTCATGGCTTTACCACCTCCACATACTGGTAAATGGATTTCATTGACTTATTGTTTTATACACAATTTATTTTTTGGGGATTTTAATGTGTTGACATATGTTTATCACACTTTGTGTGTTTAGGTATAAAGATATTTGATGGCCTAATGAAGTGTACTATAGAATGGGGGATTGAGCACAAAATCTTCAGCATATCTATGTACTTTTTCTATAACGATGTAGCCCTACGTCTTGCCCAAGGTACTTTTTCTAGTAGTCAGAAGTTGCCTCTAGATGGAAAGTTGTTTCATGTTAGATGTGCTGGACACATTCTGAATCTTGTTGTCCAAGATGGACTTGAGGTTATTAAAGGCATCGCTCTAAAAGTGAAAAAAGTGTGTGTTTCATTAACAAAATTTGAGGCTAGACTTCTTAAATTTCCAGAGATAGTTCATCACTTGGGAATTCATGTGAAGAGACTAATTATTGATTGTCCTACTCATTGGAATTCTACATATGAAATTCTTCGTGAGGCCATGAAAGTGAAGGATGCATTCACTATTCTCGCACAACGAGACTCTTTGTACAAGTCTTGTCCAAGTGATGAGGAATGAGAAAAGGTAAAGGATGTTACTTCTATATTGAAAGTTTTTTATGAGGCCACACATGTCTTGTCTGGAACTCATTATCCTACTGCAAATGTACTTCTCGCTGTTATTTGGAGAGTTAAGAAAGTCATAGAAGAGAATGCAAATCATGTGAATGTGTTCATAAAAAATATGATACATGAGATGGGAGTAAAGTTTGAAAAGTATTGGGGGGATTGTAATGTTTTGATGGCTATTGGGGCAATTCTTGATCCTAGATTTAAAATGAGGTTGATCGAATTTGCTTTTCGTAAACTTCATAATGAAGTTGACGCTAGTGTGTACATAAAAGAGGTTCGAGATTCATTGTATAAATTATTTTTTGAGTATGTTGCGAGTGAGAAAGCAAGGTCTCAAATTAAACATCCTCAAAAAGCTTCTTCATGCTCAACATCTAGAGAGCAAATACTTTCATTTGCTTTTTCGATGTTTGATGACTACTTGAACATTGTCAAAGATGAGAGCCCTCTAAAATCAGAATTAGATATTTATTTGGAAGAAGGGGTTTTTAGGTGCCAAGAAGAGAATGACACATTTGCTTTTCATGCTTTGGCTTGGTGGGAATCTCAAGCATTGAAATTTGGTATTTTGTCAAAGTTGGCAAGAGATGTTTTGGCAATACCTATGAGCACCGTTGCATCTGAGTCTACATTTAGTGTGGGTACTCGTGTTTTAGATCCATATCGTGCTAATTTATCTCCTGATATGGTTGAAGTTCTAATTTGTGGAGGTGATTGGGTTCGTCAATTACATGGCATCAAGAAAGAGATGAAGACATATGTACGTTTATGTTCATTATTGAATATCATTTTGTGTAATTATTTGTATTTTTACATTGGTTCTTAATAATTTAATTGATGCAGGAAGAGGAGAAACCCATTGAAGTTATGTTGAAGATTTGATGCTTGGCATAATCATATGTAAGTTTTGTGTTTAAAATTTAAAAAGTAGTTAATGATACTAACCTTTTACTCTCTCTTATGCCAATCAAATGGTTCTAGTGCGTAGTGACAAAGTAATTTGTTTTAAAAATATATGATACAGGTCTCCTCATGAAATGTTTTGCCATGAGATTCATGATGAGAGGTAAATATACTACTTAGCCACAGAAGCAAGAAAAACCAAGGCTTTTACGGAGTATTTATTTTTAAAATTTATATTTCAAATTTAATTGGTGCAAGAAGCATGGCATATTGACTTTATGTTGAAGACTTAAGTTTGAAGTTGGAAAGAATGTTGTTATTAAAATACATTGACTTTATGTTGGAGTCATGCTATTGAAATATTTAATATTTTGTAATTAGGACACAATGTATTGTTCTTTTGGTAACTAAAATTATGCATTCTGCTGGATACTAGGCAGTTGACAAGTAAATTTGATGATTGATATTTTTATCTTCAATAGATTAAATGTATCATCATAACTTTTTTTCCTATTGGCTAATGCGTAGTTCTATTCATACAATGAGTTTGTGGGAAAAAATTGGAACGACCCGAAAACCGTCTTAGTAGTTAGCCATTATTTTAATAAAAATAAAATAAGGTTTATTTACTCTAAAATATGAATTATTTGTGAAGTTATCCGTTTTAAATGAAAATTGGGTTTTCGGACATATCTCGTAAAATGGTGACCAGCGGTATATAGTTTGTTAAGTTTGGATATACGTACAAAGTGTGGTCAGTAAAATAGACATTACAGTTCAATAATTAAATATAAAGATTTTAATAATAAAATAATACTCCGTAATAAATAAAAAAACTTCCTAAATCCTAAACCTATACCTGTACGCACATAAAACCCTCCCAATCCCCCTTTATAAATACACGCACAATAAAAGAGGAGGGAACTAGCATGACAGCCGCACAGGAGACTTGGCCGATCACCAGAGCTGCGTGACGCCGCTGCTGCGAGTACCACCGTGCCGCCGCCGCCTGTCCGCCGGAAAATAGCCCCCACCTCCTTCGCCGCTGGTGCGTGACGCCGCCGCTGCGAGTACCACCGTGCCGCCGCCGCCTGTCCGCCGGAAAATAGCCCCCACCTCCTTCGCCGATTGGTTTGTTGATTGTTCATCAATTAATCAAGGTCAGAACGTGTACATATGCCGCTAGATTGTGTATATAGATTTGAAATTCACGTTTGTAATTCTGTGTGATTGATTATGTGGTTTATTTTTTATAATTGTATTATGATTTTTTGATATAATATGATAATGTTGGAAATGGTAGAACGAGGAAGGCCATGTACGTTTTCTAACCTTGAAATTGTGTGGCTTGGATGATAAAAACTTTTAGAAACGTTATCTGAAATGAATGGTGTTGAATAGAATTGATTTATGCTGTTTCTGTAGCTTTCCGACGTCAGACGGTAGCTAGGTACCGCCTCACTGTACCCTGCTACCACCATAGACCTCTGCGTTAATTTGGCTCTGTCGATACCTGCGCTCGCACGGTAGGGGGTACTGGCCAGACGGTACCAAGGTACCGTGTCAAACTCAAATACCGCCTTAAACCAGGTTCTCTGTCGGTAACTGTCGGTAACTGTAGTCAGACGGTCGGGGGTACCGGATCG